ATCAAACCATCAGTTTATCACAAAGATGTAGCTTCAAGAAGCAGTTAAGTTGTTTAAATTAGTTAATTTTTGTTTGAAGTAATGCAAAAAACATGACAAAATAATCATTTAAACGTGAGTGTGGGTTGAAGTTTTTCATCTTTTTTCTTGCTGCAGCCCTTCTCATTACAGATCCAAACGGTCAAAGTCAGCCTAGATTCCCACAATCTGACTCTCGGCTCCATTTCTCCCCTCCGTTGGTTCTTCGGCGTTCAGTCATCCTCTCTGCCCCGCTTTATCCCGGCTCAATATCCCATCTCCTCAACCCTGCGATAAATATTTATCTTTTATCTCACTCCAGTCTCTTCGGCGCTCCATTTATTGAGTCTATCTATCGAATCTAGCTAGCTCTAGCTTGTGATGCTTATCAAAAGGTTTCCTAACAATAGGCGCTGCTAGGCAACCAGACGTGGTGGGAGGGTGGGAGCGCTGCAGGATTCAGTGGTTTCTATTAGGGGTAGAAATGATCCCTCAGTTTGAGATATAAGTGATGATAACTCCTTTTCTTTTTGTCCATCAATCCCCATAATTTAACCCATTAATTAACCCATTTTAGGAAACATTCCTAACTGAGAGATGTATGTGCCTTCCCTAAGAGGGCCAATGTAAACACATACCTCAGATCATTTGTTCCCTCAGCTGCAGGGTTTCTAAATAAGCTTTATGATAACTGACCTGATGACATTTATTATGTATATCTATGTTTCTATATATTGTAATGTGCTGTTTTATGGTATGAATTTTGTTGTCGACTGCTGTTGCAAATCAAATCGTGACAATAAAGACTTTCTAATCTAATCTAATCTAATCTAATCTAATCTAATCTAATCTAATCTAATCTAGGGTTTGATTTTACATTTGAAAGCACCAAGGGGCTGGAATTGACCCGCTTGGTGGCTCTCGTGTTAAAGCCAAAATGTCAGACTTCAGTAAAGTTTATCTTGTTGGGCAATTAGGATGAAGACAATAACTAATAACTTTCTTTTAATATTCTCGCTGCAGGGTTCTCACCAGCATTATAACAATGCAACCCGTTGCGCTGCTGCCTGAAAAAAATGACGCTGCAAATTGGGCCGTTACGCTGTTTTCGAGGGTACATAGCGGGAAAATCATCATTTCTCTGTGTTGATTGTACCCAAATCTGTATGTATAAAATCTATTTTAGATCGCCAAAATGTGCTACACGCGGCTACATGGAAGTCTTAGCTTTTGATTGACACCTAGTTTGGCCAATACAAGGGCTTTGGGGGGTGACTGACAGCCTGAAGAGCCAATTGAGCGTCTCAGACAGTCAAGCCTTTACGTACAAGTCCCACCCTTGCAGATTCAACCAGTCGGGTTGCACACACTCTTTGACCCTATAAACTTCTAGCCAACAAGCCGGTGTATCAGATACCACGATTGTTTTTGTGTGGAGACGGTGGAAGCCGTCCGCCCCCCGCTAAGCTGTCGAAAAAATCCTGGCGAGGACCGTGCGCCGCCTGCTGCAAGAAACCACTCAGACGTGACTTAATTGGCTCAGACAACATGAATTTTACAGGTTTACTGAAACTGCTGACCTCTGTGAGCATTACTAAAGATAAGAATGACATCTTTCTCTCTCCTTGACTTGAATCTTGGAGGAAAAAAATCTCAGTTTTATCGTGATATTACCAGTGTTCTGTGTTAGTGTTAGTTGATGGGAGACACCGAGCTCAAAAACAATTTATAAACATCATTTTAACCCTTTGAACTCCTTAAATTACAAGTGGGTTTGAGAGATATTTGTGTGAGATATTTAACTCTTCAAACACTCTTGAACTGCTCAGCTCCATCTAAAACCAATCTGTAAAAAACTAAACAGTCTGTCTTTTTTTTTTTAGTTTTTTTTTAGTGCAACTGTGGAACCATTAGTGCCCCAGCTGTAGGTCTTTTCGGTTGAACTGGGCTGAACTGCAGGCTGTCTTTACACAGTGCAGAGAGAAGGGAAGTATAGACACAAATTAAACATGTAAGTAGTAAAAATATCTATAGTATGTAGAACCACATGGAAAAATGCTGTACACACTGATTCCACATTTATGAAATCTTCGCAAAATAAATGATCTACAGCTGTGTCATACTGCACAAAAGATCATTTTTGTGCTCTGTCTGCTTCTAGCCACGGTTGTGTTGTTTCCATAGAGGTGCAGGACTTTATGTTGCAGTGAAAAACGAGCCTATAGTGAGTTAAAATGTGACAGGAGCAAAGAAAACAGAGGAACTGTTTGGGGTTTAGAGGGTAAATGATTGTTCTTTAGGGCCTTTTTTTTATAGATACAGCTAAAGAAAAAAGGGGAAAAAACATGGGGTCTGGGCCACCGCGGTAAGAATTCAGTGTTTGGTGTTGGCTGTCTACCAGGTGAGCTGAGGCCACCCACATAAAAACATAGCTACGGGGGATATAGAAGAGTTTTCACACAATAAAGACAAGAGGACACCGAGATGCGCCTCAGAGTCAGGTGCAACTGAGGGGAAAGCACTGTGATCATTCAGTTTTTTTCCACATGCACTTGTGTGTTGTGTGTTGTGTGTGTGTGTGTGTGTGTGTGTGTGTGTGTTTGTTTGTTTACTCACATTGACCACAGCCTCTTTGGTCTGGACCATGTCAGATATCACTCCATCTGTGATCATCAGCAGGNCACATAACAGAGTGACTTCTGCAGCAGGCTTCTCTTTAAGCTGGGTTCTTGATAAGTTTAAGAAGTGTATTTATGTCTATAGTCACTAGAATTGTAAAATTAAATCAACAGACACATAAAGTGGTGTTTGATTTCAGTAGGTTCATCTTCTTTTTACACGAAATGCTTCCTATAAGCATTGCAGAAGAGGAAAGAACCAATCAAACCTCCAATGGAACAGGAATTTAGAAAGCATATGGCACCAGTGTTAGTGTTGCTTTAATTCCCTGGGGTTTCCTCTTTGTGCCACATTTATTTTTCTGGTTGCCATTTTTAATCTGTCCCGAGGAGCAGAAGCTTCGGTGGATGTAAATGGTAAATGGACTGCACTTATATAGCGCCTTTCTACCTTAGCGGCACTCAAAGCGCTTTGCAATGTGTTTCTCATTCACCCATTCACTCACACACTCATACACCGATGACGACAGAGCTGCCATGCAAGGTGCTGCCTGCCATTGGGAGCAACTTCGAGTTCAGCGTCTTGCCCAAGCAGGGGTTCGGACGGGGATCGAACCACCAACCTTACAATCAGAGGACGACCGCTCTGCCACTTGAGCCACAGCCGCCCTTCTTCGAGCCGATGTCAACATCACACGCTGGTAGTTTGTTGCATCTTGCTCAGTTTAATTTTAGGCCCAGGCAGAAGGACAATGTTGGGAACGAGAGCAGGGGAATGACATGCAGCAAGTGTCTGCCTGGCCTGGAGTCAAAGCAGGGACTCAGCTCCTGATCATGTTTTCCTCTCTGTGCTTTGGAGCCTCACCACTTGGCCATGAGGTCACCCATCTGACAGGTTTATTTACAAGCTCAGCCGAGTGTGAAAGCTTTTTTTTTTCTTTTGGCAAAATTATTATGTTTTCATCAATTTCCACTGTGAGGGTTTATTGCACGAATAAAAAAAATGCACATAAAAGCTGGTGGATGAAGCAGCACTAAAGGCAGGAAAGCTAAGCAAAATGTCCCCATGACCCTCCTCGTGTGTCAGGTTTACTCATGTTTATATATTAAACAACAGAGCTACTCACCGTCAAACTCAGCGGGCCCAACACCCACGATGATGATGGACAGAGGGAGCGACGCTGCCTGTTTAGGAGACAAAAGGAATCATTAGATCTTTAATACCTGAAATACAGTTGTGTTCAAAATAATAGCAGTTTTTTTTTTAACATGATGTGCTCATCTTTTTGATATTTTTTTTTTTTTTCTTTGTTGGGACTGCCGCTTATTTTTTTCATCACATGATGAAGAATGTTTTGTTGTTTTTTTTATTTTTTTGCAGACGATGGAGGAAATGATGTTGGTGTGTTTTTAAAAAAATTGGCGTTTTTTGCTTTTTTCTTTCCAACTTCAATTTTTTCTTCATTAACTTGAAAAAAAAATTACGATTTAGCGTTCCTGTGAATCATTAAACTAATATTTAGTTGTATAACCACTGTTTTTGGGAACTGCTTGACATCTGTCGACCGACTTCAGGTACCTGTAAACAGATATTCCAGCTCAGGATGGTTTGACAACCTTCCACAGTTCCTTTGCATTTCTTGGTTTTGTACGGTAAACAGACGAGCATCAAACCATCAGTTTATCACAAAGATGTAGCTTCAAGAAGCAGTTAAGTTGTTTAAATTAGTTAATTTTTGTTT